CTGTCTTGGTCTTTCTTGTGTTGCTCTAAGTATACATCTGATGCTGGGTACTTTGTAAAGAAAAGATGTTTGTTACGGCTCCCATTTTGGGGGCCACGACCACTGAGCCTGGATGGTCACACTGCTCTGGCCTCTGGTGAGGGCCTCTGGCTATGTCACCAAACAGGCCTATGTATTTCTTTCTTCATAAATATTGAGAGAGGGGCTGGGGATTTAGCTCAGTGGGTCTGCTGCCTGCCTTGCAAGTGTAAGGACCCAAGTTTGATCCCTGGTACAAAAACAAAACAAAACATAAATATTGAGAGAGAGATCTAGAAAACAAATGTAACAGAAATTCCAAGTCTAAACTGAGTGATGCTTCTTAAAAAAATTCCCTTTGTGAAGCCACATATTTACTTTGACATAATTCCTTGTACTTAAATCTTATTTGGAACCCTTCCTAATTAATTCAAGAACATTTACCAGGCACCTGTTACGCAGGCTGCGTTCCAAGTTCTTACCTCTGGCAGTGGAGCTGACACCACAGACCACATAAAGATGGAGTGGAAGACCCACTATGTTCGATGACGAAGCCCACAGAGAAGCAATATCCAGTGGACACTGGGTGGGCTGTGCTGGGGAGGGGGCCTGAGACATTAGACAGAGTGGCAGGGAAGGCACCTGTACAGGTGACACTCGCGGAATAAAGGAGCCAAGGACAGGAGCCATTAACAGAGGGAGGAAGTCGTGGCCAAGAGCACAGCAGTAGGAGCAAGTTCGATGTGGTCTCGCCATGCAATGAGATAAGAAGCCATCGCAGGGCTTTGAACAACTTGGCTTAAAAATTTACTTTATTTTTAAACTGTTTATGGGGTACACTATGATGTTCTGAAACACATATACACTGTGCTGTGATGAGCACAGGCGTCACCTCTACCGGCATTCTTTGTGATGAGAGCATGCCAAATCTTCCCTACAAGCTGTTCACATAGACAGTGCATGGGTGGCCACCAGGGGCTTGGGGAGGAGTGAGGCAGAGAGAGGGAGGCTGCTGAGTGTGCCCAAAGCTAGCCTTTCAGGGAAGAAACTGGTGTTGGCGTCCACTCACCAGCGGGACACTGTAGCACACGGGGGATTTCGATGTGACCACCATTTTTCCAGGGGTCACTGTGAAAGCTACACTGCAAAAGCTTTGGGGAAACAGGGAGACCAAGCAGGAGGCCACTGAAAAACCCAGGAAGAGGTGAGGACCGCCTGGGCAGGGGCAGAGTCGTCCGAGGTGGAATGGGGCGGGACCGCGCATATCCCTAATAAAAACTAGCAAGATCAACTGAATTATCTGAACCCATCCCTAGAAGAACCTTGGCAGTGTTGAAAAATCAACATGACCATTCAGAAATCCAGACTTGTCCCTGTGATAGAATTCTCAAGAGTGTATGGGAGCAATCTAGAAGAGCAGTTCCTCAAAAATGCTCTGAACCCTGTTGCCTTAAAAAAGTAAGTCAGAATCCTTCCTTGAAATAGATTTTGCCCTAGAACAGGTTACAGCAAAGTTGGCACGCTGAACACTTACAACATGGAAAACACAAGGAGGCTTATTAATAATCAACTGAGGGAGCAAAATATCAAGACTCCTAGGGTGGTGCAGCACAGGACAGCGGTGAGTGGACAGGACGAGGTGCAAAGCACCCCACCAGGGTCAGGCGCCCTGCAGTAATCCCTCAACAAGAAAGCAAGGTGCAGCACAACCTCCAGCCCCCAAAGGACTGCCCTTGGGACTTGATAAAGCAATGAAACAACGCAACAGTGAAAGGACGGCTGCCCCACCCACCCGCTCTGCTCCAGTGGTAACAGGAACTCAATGGACAAAACCATCGTCCTCATCTCACTGAGAAACCCAGAGACCAGTGACCTGCAGGACTTGAAAGGTACCAAGCACCCAGGACAGAGAGTGTCCGGGCAGACTGCTCAGCATGAGCCTGGCAAGTGGAAACCTCTCCCACGAGGCCTGGAAGCAAAGCCCCTGAATAGCAGCCCAAGCCCTTCCTGGGCAGAGGAGCTAGGGAGAACATCTTCTAAGATTCTGAGATTGTGGAAGTTCAAAATCAGGGCTCTGGAGAAGGCAAATTCCACGTGAACAGTTTCCAAGCACGGCTATTACACCTGCAAGACTGCTGCCAGTTCGGCACTTTCACCTCTGACGGATGGACGGACAGACGGACAAGCAGCCTCGGCAGCAGGGCCTCCTCGGTACCTGGAACCCCCAGGGAGCCACCAGCATGACGGTGTTCTTCTTGCTGGAACAGGGCAGTGCTCAAGAGTGGGGCCACAAGCTGCTGGACCTCATGTGCCCCAGGCTCGGCTCCTCCGTTGGTAAAATATGGGTACAAAAGGAACCTCCTTCATAGGGTTCCGACCACGATTAAGCTAATGGATGGGTGGGTGGATGGAGATAGAGACACAGACAGATACACAGTGTGAACAAACTTAATGGGTCAGCAACGACTCTCAAAACTGCCACGGAGTCATATTATGAGAAAGAACAATGGTATCATTAATTACATTGCATGACTGTTGCTATTTCCCGGGACATGGTGTGCAAGGGCTGCTGTTCACATCTCTTTCGGGGTGCTCTCTGCTCACAAGGTTAACAGACTCTAGGTGACCCCACCAGCTGATGCAAATGATAACAATCCGATTTTCTTATGAGGAGAGCACGCCGTTTGATCAGTTAAAAAATAAAACCTGCCGTATTAATAGCCTTGTGCAAACAGAGTGTTTATTATACCTCATGGCTTTTCTTTAAAGTGGCTGCTACTCTGCTGTGTGTCTCCAGCGTGGCGCCGGGGTAGGATTGGTGTTCAGGGGATTTGTGCCATAAAGTTCCACACAACAGCAGCACAGTGTAACTTTTTTTTTAAGTGGCACTTTTTCCAAGTCTCACTTAACAGACAGTCAGTTGCTTTGGCTGACCTCTTTTTTTTTTTTTTTTTTAATTCTGCACTCCCTTGGGCAAGGGGAGAAATGAAAGCTGAACTCTGTGCGGGGCGGGTGTTCACCTGTGTGTGACAAGGGGGCTACTCTCATTAACCCCGTCAGTGCTGTGCTGCACCTTTCGCGTGAGAAGAGCTAGAAGCTCTCGTGAGCCAGGTCCAGCCACCGACCTTGGACGTTCCTGCGAACCCTCTGGGACGGGCACGCAGAAGTCTACAGGGACAGCGTTCATGGGGCACTCACAAACACGCTTGGTGATTCACTCATCTTCTACAACCCTGTTACTTATTTTGCCCCATCAATATCCACTCAGCCTTGCATCCTCGGATTTGAAAAATCACTTCGTACTCTCACTAGACAGCTTGAAACCAAAAATAAGTGGGGGCCAGGGATGCAGCTCAGTGGTGCCACCGCCACCTGCCTCGCAAGCACAAGGTTCCAAGTTCGAACCCCGGGACCAAAATAAATTAAATAAATAAATAAAATATCAACTTCACGGTGAGTTCCACCCATGGCAGCCTCATCTTGGAAAGAAACAGGTGAAATTCTGTAAGCCTGCCTCAGGAGAGATGTTCCAAAATGCACTTAACAATGGAATTTTCCCTGGAACGGCCACATCAGGAGTCACAGTTCCAGAGGGGATTTCTGTGGGAACTGGGAAGTTAGCGAGACCTGCTGCTTTCACATCTACTGAGGATTTCAGGCCCTGGAGTTCGGTTTGTCAGAACTAGACATTGTACCTTTGCCGAACTGGTCTTTTGTATTAAACCTAAGTTGCCATAAAAAAACACCCAGAAAGGTAACATCACAAATCACTGGAAATACATCAGCTTTCTGAGCAGCAGGATTTATGGGCACTAATGGATCTCCTAGGCTGTTTATCTCCTCAGAAGCTGCTGAAACATCTCCACCTCTCTCTTAGTAAATAAAGGGGCTTGTGATCAAGGAGGGGAGCCCCCCGGAAGCCCAAAAATAAATGGATATAAATGACTTAGGACTGAGCCACTGTTTTATACCCATGCAAATGATCTGCTCTAGAAATGAGCGCTCATCACGTTTGCCACGCTGGCTACTTTTGAAATGCAAATTTAACAAGGCATTCGAATCCAGGTACAAAGCAAGACGTTCAGAAGGGCAGACTGACTGCTCTCTCCTGTCAGGCATCTGACGCAGAAGCCTCTGGAGAGAGGAGTCCTCGGAAAGCCTGGTGCTGGCGGTGCAGATGGACACCCTAATCCTCTGTGAGAGTGAACAGCACCAGTGCTTTCGAAGGCCACAGTCAAGACATCTACGGTTCCCTTTAAGCCCCTGAGCTCATTCCTCTCAACGTATTCATTTCCCTCTGATTTTCTGGGATCCCCTAGCAGAAGATCTTCTGGTAAGCTCTCTGGCACCAGCATCTGTGGCTTCACCCAGGTGAGAAGGCACGGTGGTGACTTCCCCTGATGCTCAGCAGTACATGAACCCAGCCCATCACTCTGCTTCTCCAGTGCTCTTTACGTATAATTTCACTTGGTGGTCTGGAGTTACCGAGTTAGTCCTTAAAATAACTTGGTAACTGACTTTCACAGATAACTCAGTTGAAGGCTCTTCCCCTTGGTGGAATGGAGATATGGAAGTCAAGAGCTAGGAGGTGACACTCCACTGCCACAAAAAACGCCACAATAAACTCAGGAACAACGAAGAAAACATGGGCTGCAATGCCCGTGCTACTGAACAGCACCCCACGCTGCTTCACAAAAAGGGAGAAGCGAGGACGTGGTCTTCAGCTCACAATGGGTGAGGCGCACCCGGAAGCAGAACTCAGTGCTGACGTAATCTGGGTGCGACAATCCACCAAGCCCGCACCCACTCTCTATTCTGCCTAGATGTTGCTAAAGTGAATAGTACTGGGCTCAAAGAAATTCCTTCATTCTGGCAGGCAGCTCAGTATTGCCCCTCTGAGGAGCCTAAGGGAGGTGACAAAGTGCGCCCAAACTCTCACAACTCCACTGTGCTTTGGGCATGGTTGAGGTGAGTCCCCGGGCTTCATGTGTGGGAGCCTGGTCCCCAGTGTGATGGCGCTGAGAGGTGGGGGACCCTCGGAGGCAGGCTCTAAAGGGAGGCAGCTTCCTTCCTTGGATGAGGTCTGTCCCTGTCACAAATGCCCTCCTGCCACTGTGGCACCTGAGGTGATATAGCATAGGACGCCTACACTGGAGTCAATGCTGACCCTCACCCTTTATACCTGAGCAGAATAAACCTCTCTTCTTCATAACTAAGTAGCCCCAGGTGTTTCATTATAGCATCACAAGTGAGGTCAGAGCTGCTCTTCCAGTGTCTGGGGCTGTTGTTCTCAGAGACACTCAGGCATGTCCCTGGGGTGGGAAGACTGTGCTGCTGAGACGTCCTTCCGATGTTGCTCCCTCCACCTGACACCGGGCAGCAGAAAGGCAGAGGCTGTTTCCTTTCCCTTCGAACCCGGGCTACTGTGCAGCTCATCTGATCGGCACTGTGAGGGGGAAATGATGCTGGGTCACTCTCAGACCTAGGCATTAAGAGGACTAAGGGCGACCCCAGCTTCCATGTGAGACAGACACCTGATGACTTTCTGGAAGGTCACATGGACTCAGTGTTTCTGGCTGTCACTCCAAGCAAAGTCATCAGTGATCTTCTGGACCAGTCGATATATGCTATTTAGGGTCCAGTATCAGAGTATCGGTACAGAGGCTCCAGAAAGCAGGATGGTAAGATTTCACTTTCTTTTATCAAAGTTCTGAATGAGCACTTTTTGGAGCAGAAGGCAGTGACAACTGTGAGTTCCCATACTTGTGGTTTCACCCAGCTAAACGACACTTCGGCAGAAGCTCTGGTGCCCTAACTCTTCTGGGCAGGTATACCAGCAGGCCGTGGCACTGTGAAGGACCAACCCTGAGCTCGTGCCCACATATGCCGGCATAGGTCCATCAGCCTTAGAATCTGACTTCAGAAACAGCACCTGAATATGTCTGCCGGGACAGAATGGGCCCAAAAGCTTAGGGTTGCCTTAAATCTGGACTTCCCAACAGTTTATGGGAAGATCTGATTCCAAAGCGGAAAATGACTACTGTGTATCACCAGGAAAACATTCTGAAACCGCTCTGTCCTGTTTCTTTCCAGAGAGAGTAAGAATCTCCAGAAAGGGACTGTGGATATCCCCACAGAAGCTCCCTTGGGAGTCTATGGTTAGGGAAGTGCTCTTGCCCTGGAGGTCACCCAGATGTTCCTTCCCTCTTCTTCCTCCTCCCTCTCTCTCCATCCCACCACCCACTTGAAGCCAACATCCCAAGGAACCCCATTATGTTCATCCACACCCCTACATCTGAGAGTTGGTGCAGTCCCCCCTTCCTCCCTCCAGGGGGCACAACACCAGGTGATGGCACACATGGGGCAGTGGGACCATTCAGAGGCTTTGAGCTTTCCAGATAGCTGAAGAGCTGCCTGCTTGAGAACCAAAACATCTTTTGCAAAATAAGATTTCAGCACTCTTGGCTATAAAATGCTGTAAAACATATTCCAAATATCCAACTTCCTGAATATAATTTAGCCTCATCTTTGTAACTCAAGACTCAGCATAAGCATCCAATTCTGTCCTGGGACCAGAAAAGGGAGCTGGAGACTAAAGGCACCTCCAGATGATACCGAAGACAACTAGAAAGTTGATTAGAAACAGGCCACAGGTGGGTCTCCAAATATGGGGGCCAGAGCGGAAGTTAAGACCCAGGAAGGGACCAAGGACAAAGTGTGCACAGAGCTACACACAGGGTTCAGACGTAGGGAAATTGTCCCCAACAAGCGCTGGTTCTGTGCTGGGCTCTCTGGCGTGGTGGGAAACTCCAAGTCTAAGGGCCCTGTGTGGCTGCTGTGTGTCTTCTTCCAGCTCTTCCCTTCTGATTCCCTGCTGCTTGCTCCTCCCTGTCCTAGAAACGATCCACTCTTCAGAGATTCTGAAGGCTAAGACTGCCTCTCTGATATGTGCTCAGAGGCAGTGACCACGCCCTAACTCCACACGAAATCCTTCCGCCGGAGGGACCCTCGTCCACACAGAGCTCGCAGCTCGTGTCAGGGCGCAGTCTGCACTGCAGACACCACTGGGAAGGGACGCATCCACTCTGAACTCACACTGTCTGGACTGCCAGCCGCATGGGACACAGAACATCCTGGAGGCGACACATCTGTGGAAGGGAGGGAGGGAGACTCCTGCCAGGCTGCGGGCAGAGGCCATCAGAGCACGAGGCCACAAGGCAGAGAAGGACAGTGACTTAGCAACTCCTGCTGTGAACAGAGAGCCAGCTGAGGGGACCCACGGCCAATCTGCAGCAGCTCTTGTCACCAGAGAACGACTGTCCTGTGTTACGGACATAAATGTAAGCGTGATTACCAAAAGTGGGGGAGGCATTTGTTTATGTGCTTGTTTGTCTGTTTGTATGACTCACCTTCCAACTGATCTAGCCACTCTTATCCTGGCTTCTCTGCACAGAAAGCACTCTTCACTTTCCCTCCCACTGTCCCCACCCTCCGCCCTACTTTTCCTTCACTTCCTTCTGTGCCTCCTCTTCTCCAGGGAGAGAACTGAAAGACTAGCTATGAGCAGCCTTGGGGGTCAGAGGGGGTCTCTGTCCCAGGCCTGCCGCTTGGCAGCACCGGACCCCGGCCCAGGTTCCTGGCTTCCCTGATACTCAGCCCTCTAGGAAGAATCCCGGCAACACACACGCATCAGTCTCATCCTGAGGACACAGAGTTACCGACGTAGGCGCATGCTCTGCCTGACACTGCGCAGGTGGCAAAGGGTGAAGTCACTGCCAGTGCCTGCTGCCCTCTCAAGCTCTGAGGATGCCGGAAGAGTTAAGGTCTCCAGGCAGAAGTTCTTTGTTTTTGGTACTAGAAATTAAACCCAGTGCCTTTGACTGAGCCATTTCGTTTTTAAGACAGGGGTCTCACTAAGTTGAACAGGCTGGTCTCGAACTTGTGATCCTCCCGCCTTAGCCTCACAGGTGTGTACCATGCCCAGCTAGAAGCTGGAAGAGGTTCTTGAGGACCCATCTGTGTAAGTAAGAATCCTTCTTCATGAGCACAGTGTCAATCGACTGTTCCTATACAAAAGGCTTTGAACTTATTCCTGAGCTCTCACCTACATCAGCAAGGCACATCCGTCTCCACGTGCACTGTGACGACTGGGGACACCCTCATCCCACGGTGCCGATTTCCAGAACTAGAGACTTCTGCACGCAGATGTTAACTCCTTCCTTTTCCTCAGGGGAACTGCTTTTTCATCACTTCATTACACATGCAGTCACTTGTCACTCCCCATCTTTGGGGATTGGGGGTTTGTTCTTCTTCTAAAGTCTCCCCCTTCTCCCTCCGTCTCCCCCACAGCACCCAGAGCCCATGCAGGCCCCTCCATCCTGCCCTAGAGACCTGGTCACTGGGGGTGAGGATGTAGCTCAGTGGTAGAGCGCTGGCCTGGCACCAGCACTGCAAGACTCTGCCCTTGGAGAGCTGCTCCTTCTGCCAAGAACACGTGCCCCTCATCCTTGCCCTGCCTGGGGTTCCTCTGGAAGCCTCACTCAAACATGAGACCCCCAGCTCTGCCTTCCATGACACGGATCACACGTTGAGCAGTGCACGGAAATCCCCCTGGGGTCCCCTTAGAGTGCAGGTTCTGAGTCCTGCTCAGTGCAGCTGGGCCTGAGGTGGTGCATTTTTCACAGCTCCTCCTTGTCACTGGAGCTGTTAGCCAGACAGACGTCACCTGAGGTATGAGCTTGCAGCAGCACCCCGAAACCTCAGCAACCAGGCCCTTTGCTGTTTTCTTGCACACTGTCCAGCAACATATCAGAAGAGGAGGGTGAGGAGAGGTAAGGGCTGCTAGGGGAGAGAGGGTGTGAGGGGCGCAGAAGGGGGCGGACTGGAGAGAGTGGAACGGAAGAACAAACAGAAACTGGAGAAGTTAGGAAAGAAAAAGTGAAAGAAAAAAAGCAGGAAGGAAGAAGACAACTGGAAGGAAGAGAGGAAGGGACAGTGTGGCACAACAAACAGGGATGTCAGCTGATTGCCTTGTCACAGTGGCATCTGGTCAACATCACCTGAGTTTCCAGAGCAATGGGGAAGGGGCTCCGCAGAATGTCAGGACTGCACCCCCGGCCACTCCTGAGGGTCAGGCACACTGTTCCCACAACAGGACAACAGTGAAGGCCTACACCTACCTACGCAGCAACTGCAGATGCATAGAACAGATCATATCACAGAAGAAACTCAGGCAGCACAAAATCTTTTACCCAAAGACCTCAAACTGCTCGCCCATGACAACAGCCAACCCCAGGTTACCTGGTACAGCTCGATCCGTTGTTCAGGCACTCTGGCTTTTGGGTTCTGCAAACGAAAGACTCTGAACTCCGCTTTCACCAAATTGGAAGCATTTTTCTCCATTGCAGAGACATCGAATCGGACGATTCTGAAGTAGGGTCTGTAGAAAGGGGGCGGGATGGCATCTGTAAAAAGTTAGGGCAATCATTGAAAATGATAAAACTCACTGCACATGCGCAAAAGACCACAACATGAGACAGTCCCCAAAACCCTACAGGAAACAAATACAGAATGGCTTGGTTTCCAATGGCCAATTTAATACCGTTAACAATTTAACCAGAACAAAAGAAATAAAATAAACATATGCATTTGGTTACAGAGGCAGCAGATTAATAGAGATTAGCAAACCACTTCCAGCAACATTTGAGGGCGTGCAGTTAACCCTGTCCTTTGGAGGCTGACAGAGCAGTGGAAAATCCTGGACGGGAGCTGTCGGGCCTGCTTACACTTTGATCAGATGTGCCAAGAAAATAGCTCCTAATGGCAAGCAGCTTGCCCATGTATTTTTTTTTTCCTTGAAAGTCTGGCATCCAAATACTCTACTTTTATCCAGGCTCATGTGCTGCATCTTGTGTGGCTATGGCACTTTGGTTCTTCGCACATAGGACCAATTTGCAGTGAGGAAATCCAAATAAACAAAACTATACCCATAAGCTAGCTACATCAGGTCTACCTTAAACTTCTTTATTGGGGATAATATTGGTTATTGGTGGGCAGTAACCCTCATGAACAGGGAGAAGGAATCAGCACAGATTCCTTCCTCTCTGAACTGTGTGGAAGACAGAGTGCACCCAATGATTTCAAGTTCATGCATGGTTCAGAGTCTTGCTGTTATTTTTAGTAACCTGCCGTTGCCTCTGCATATGCATTTGACACTACACCAGATCTGGAAAAGCAGGCCAACCACCCCCGCCATGCTTTCTACACAGCATTCATCAGGCACTAACACCACGCAGACCCCGTGTTACAACCACGTGTCTACACCCTTCTTCCAAAATCTCTTAGGCACTGACTTCCCAATCCCAGGGCTCCATCTAGTCTGGGGGCGCCATCTCTTTCTAACTTCCTGCCCTTATGTAGCTTAGCACAGCACAGCCATTCATAGTTGTGTGCTTCATTACAAACATTTTTATGACATGGGCATTATGTTTGTTTATTTTGTTTTCCCCTGTGAAATTTTAAGAATCTCAAGGCCAGAGACTGTTTGCCAGCCCTTTCTTTTTCCCTGAATATTCAGGACAGGGCTGTGCACACAAGGGCTCACCGAATGTCTGCTGTTTGCATAGGTGGTCATCAATGTGAGTCTTAAAAGACTCAGGCATCTGGCTATTGGCAACACTAACGTCTTACTAAATAAACAAGCCAGATTGCTGATCTCAAAATAGACATAAATACCTTTCGTGATTTCTTGGGAAGTCCATGCCCTGACAATTATGCTGGAAAAAAAAAATTCTACGAACACACCAACATTTCCTTATCTTCAGAGCTCTGCAGTTTTTCTTTCCCTATATGTGAGAGACTCTGAACACAAATCCTTGTAGAACAGGTGACTTCCAAGCCACCCCTCTGCTCAATGCTGGTCCATAAAATGAATGCGTGAATTGCGGCTTTGCAGCTGGTGAACCAGAAGCCTCAAAAACCAACCAAAAAACAAATAAACAATGCCCCCCCAATCCACAGCATTCAGATTTCTGAGAAAAGCAAGCATTCATGCAGACACAGAGATAACCCACACTGTGTGGCTACAGTGACACTGTTGGGGGAGAGGGTGAGTCCAGGCTGGGAAACGTTCACACCAGTAAAAAGGTTTTTGGAGCCCCCCCAGCACAGTAGCTAGAAAAGGTAACCGATGAGAAGAAATGTGAGCTGTGGTGGAAAAATGCGGTATGTATTTAAATGTTTAAAAGTTATTGCAGTAAAGGTCACATTTCCATAAAACCCACTCAAAATCTCCCCCCTGCTCCAACCCCTCATCCCGTCTTTCTTGCCACTTTCTGAAGCAGCTCTGGAGTCCTCTTTCCTGAGTGTCCTCTTTCATTGTGCTGGCGTGGCTGCCTCAAATTCCTCAGTGCATTCCAAACATTTACCTCTCACGGTCATCTCGTCTTTGGGGAGGAGCCAGAAGTCACACGGTGCCAGATCTGGTGAATAAGGTAGATGAGGACATGCTGTCATGCTTTTACAAGCTTGCCTCTCAGTTGTACGGCACTTAGCAGCAGCATTCACCATATTTTTGATCACATCTTGCAAAGACCCTCAGGAAAAAGGACTCCAGAACTGCTTCACAAAGCGGCGAGAACAGTGAGATAAGTGTGTTCGAAGTAACTGGGAGGATTTTCAGGGGATTCGTAGCGATGTGTCTTTTACTGTAATACATGTTTATCATTACTGTTCGTACATGTCTGTGGCGTACAACGCTCATACTCCTCATGGGGAGTTGGCACCTGTCCACAACACATCTAAATTATTTTCTCATCCCCTCTCCCTCCTCCCACCCACACCCACCATCTGCTGATTTCCTTCCCCCTTGAGAAAGATCTACCTCCTTTCTTCCTATTACCTATCTTTTATTTCGGTTTTTATTTATATTTTGGGTTTTTCATATAAAAGAAACCACACGATATTTAGCTGTCCGTGTCTGATTTATTTCACTTAACGCTGTGGTCTCAAGGTGCATCCATTTTCCCACAGATGACTCAAGTTTACCCTTTCTTACGCTGGAGACACTCACTGTCCTTTAGGAGCACCTCTTGGACCTCTCTGTGCTCTGGAATACGCCCACCCCGGTGCTGGGAGTCTATCCCAGCCTCTCCAGCTCAGCGGAAAGCAGGCCAGGCACTGCTCCGAAGGCCGAGGGGCTGCTTTCATCCACTCATCCTCGCCTTAGGCAGAAGCAGGCCGCACACGCTGTGGAAGAGCCAGGCCGGAGCGAGTTTCCCCTCACTACAAGGGTAAACATGGGCCCACGGTCTCTTCTCCTCCACAAACACCCACCCTTCACCCGCCTGTCCGCATCTCATCTTTCCATGGAGTTGTAAATAAGTGCTTTTGAGATTTATTTTTATTCTCCTTCATGTTTATTAAACTCTGAACCACTTTTCCCCCTTTCTGGTCTTCTGCCCATACGCACTCTTCCTTTTTACGGCTGTCTACGACCACGGGGTCAGTTTTGTCTCTTCTTCTCCTAAGCAAACCCTGCAAGGATTCCGCCCTGGGCTTTGAACACAGCAAGTGTCTGCAAATATTTACAGGAGGAGTCCTGGGGAGTCAGCCAGTCCCGCACCTTTCGGAGCACATGCAGTCTGCCCTTCTCCCCTCCTCTGGGGCTTGGGGAGCCCTGGAGCCCATCTCTATTTCGACGGCCACAACAGCAACCTGTCCTGGGGCCATGTCTCCTACAAATGGGACTGCTCCCGTGTCATCACCGCGGGGACATGCCACAACCACCCTGCCCCCGGCACACAAGGGCACGGACTGCAACTGCTGATGAGGAGCCACCACGTCCAGGGACAGTCCCTGCTGTCATTTGTCATGGGTCACAAGCCTCCTGTCCGGCTAAAGGATTCAAGTGATTTGCCAAATGTTTTCTTCTTTGGGAATAGTCAAGCTGCTGTCCCTCACTGGGGCCTAGTAGGCGCCAGGAAGAGAGAAGCAGGGTGGCCGGAGAGCGGGGCAGACCTGTGCTGCCCAGTGATCCACCCACACACTCTTGGAGGGGTGGAGCCTTTCCCTTGGCCCCTCCACCGCTCATTTCCACCTCGGGAACAGGCGCTCTCTCTCAAGTCCTCGCAGTGGACAGTCAAGCGGTCAGGCAAGTCCTGTGCCTGACCTCTGCCAGCTCAGAGACACTTGCGTCTTGGCCCGTGCTGCCCACTTCTGACCCACTTTTTAGGTTCCCTCCACCCTCAGGTTCACACCGGCAGGCGAGGCTCCCCCTCCCACGCTTCCCTGGGCACCTTGCACACAGAAGGTGCTGTGCCACTCCCGGGTGCGGGGTCCTTCCCTGTTCAAACTTGGGGAAATGGAGAGTGGGGAAAAAAACAAGAGCATCTCATCAGTTCTGAGTTTCCAAAGTCACTGAGTTCAGAAAGCCCACCTGTGGCACTGAACCACAAACTGTTTCATTGTGACCAGGGCAGGAGCCCAGGGTCTCCACATTCTTGAAAGACCTCACGCTTGAGTTTCACGCTTGGGGATCCAAGTCCTGAAATCCTTAGTGATTTTACCTTAGAATTAATAGCTTGTCAGTGGAGCTTAATGGGCAGTAGAGCAAGTGCAAGGGGCTCAGAAATTTGGCCCGGGACTCTGTGTCCTGCCCATGCCTGTCCTCAGCCTCATCCAGCCTCTTCTGGCCCACCTGGTATCTGCTGCTGTCACCTCCACACTCGGGAAGGCTGGGGTCAGGCACATAACCCACCACTCTTCTGGCAGGGCCCTGCAGCGTCAGCTGCTCCCACCCCAGCCAACAGTGCCACGGGGCCTCAGTGGCAGTTTTAGGGGCACAGTATGCAATGCCACGGGCTGAGCAGTGGCTCCATGGGGCAGGGGATGCTTGTGCCTGGCCCAGGGAGCATCTGTTTCGAGCTAGTGGCCAGGGATGCTGTGCCTGGCTGGCTGCATGCTCCGGGGTGCCTGTGTGTTTCACTCCAGGGTCCCCTGGTGCCCAAAGGACTTGACAGCAAATCAACCATTGACACCTGCACCTACACACAGAGGGAAAGAGAAAAGTGGGAAGTTTTACATTTTAGAATCTGTAACCTCGCTTTCTCTTATCTTTTGAACAAGAGGCCTCATGCTTTCGTTTTGTAGAGAGCTCCTGCATGTTCTGTACCTAGCCCTGCTGGCACACAGGGGTGGAAAACCAGTGGTACAGCCAAAGATCTTTAAGGTGATTTCGGTTCTAATCCCAAGTGAAGCTGAGCCAGCACTGCGAGGTGAAGAAGGGGGCAGCAGGTGGTCTTCTGCAGCTATTTCTTTGCTGCACAGTGAGGCGAAGGCCCGTGGGAGCAGCTATCTAGGTAGCACAAGTGAGCAAGCGAGTGGACAGAAAGCCAGAGCCCTGGATCGAGGACAAACTTCCCCTCGGATCCCTTCCTGACCCCTTACCATCCTGCAGCAATGCTGCTAAGTGACTTTCTGTGGATGCTCCTGGACAGGAAGCTCCCATACTGCCTGACAGGTTTCTTTAGAGGAGGAAGGAAGAACAGGAGCAGCTGAGACTGAGCGTCCTGGGGTAGCGTCTAAAGCACCCTGTGCCCTCAAGGAGGGGCACCATCACCAAAGTCCTTCAGGAAAGACAGCAGGAACATTCGCCCTCCCACCAAACATCTCTGCACGGAGCACTCCCACCTCCCACTGCAACGCCCAGATCAGGACTACTTTTAATAAAGGAGAAAAGGAAAAAGTTCCAGGTCTTCGAACAACATCACTCCTGTGGGACGGACTGTGGCAGAGGAGAAAGGGTGGAGGCTGCAAGAAAACCCAAAACTGTCCAGAGCTCTGCCCGGAAGTAGGGCCATGCTTCAGCCACCGTGCAGTGCTTATCCCCATTAGGACGGTCGCGCCACAACACCAGCAGAGAGAAAAGTGCATACCGTGTTGGAGGGCTGGGGCCAAGGACCTACTGGTATTTGCTGTTTGCTAAAGCAGCGATTCCCAAAGTGGATTCTCTCCTGGGAACCTGCTGTAAATGCCAGTCACCTAGGGGAGCCAGATGCACCATACATGGGAGGTCCACTGATGCAGAGCTGAGCAGAGCAGAGTCAAGTGGATCAGGACAAGGGAGCTAAGCATCGACCAGCAGTGTTCCTGGAGTCAGCAGGACTGGAACCGCCAGGAACCCGGCCTGCTGTCAGTGTCCTTGGGGAGAGTCCAAGGGAAGCCAAGAGGGCAGTGGCAGTGACTCAGGGTGAAACAGCAGGTGCGGGTATGGAAGCAGTTGTGAGTAGCCTGGAGCTGTCCTGTGAGCCCTGCCTCAAGTATCCACCTGCACTTCAAATCCAAGCTGGCTCCCTCCCGGGGAAGAAGCAGCAAGAGGCACTCAGGGCAACACAGGACCCCACTGATGAGCTGATATATGGATCCTGTGCAGCAGTGTGTCCCTAACAGTGCAGATGCCTCTAGGCAAACTCTCTGGGCAAAGCCTGTGAACCCTAAACTGTGAGAACCACGAATGGAAAGAATGGAAGAAAAGAAGTCCACAAAGAGAAGGACAAAGGAGCATCTGAACTTTTGACCAGGTATTTTGCATAGTTTTTAAAAAAGTAAGATAGAAAAGAGGAAATTGCAACCACTCCAGAGTTCTGAACCTCTCAAAACAGAAAAACAGGATTCCTCTGTGATTGGAGGGGTTGACCTTGACCAAACACTTCAACAGACCCAGCAAGTTGGAAAAGACTGATACGGGTCCAGATCACTGGACTAGGGGAGACTTCCAAGTTCTTTGGGTGATTGTGACCACAGCCAGGACTGAGACGGTGCACTGAGAGGCCCTGACAGAACCCAGCCCGAAGAGGAGAAGATGGAGGGACATCAGGTCCCTTAGGGGCTCAAGTACTTCCGGGACCGGTATGCAGAAAGTCCTTACATTCTGTAGATCCAGGAAATCCAATATCAACCTCAGAGTCAAGGGGAAAAAAACTAATCACTGACTTACATCATGGTGATGTCTCTGCTCACTGGAAGAACTAGGGGCTGAAGAGATAAGATGTGCCCTGTCCAGTCCCCTGAACCCCTCGGCAGCTGGACTTCCGTGGCTTGAGCTTGCCCCAGCTCTGCCACTGCATCATTCTCACGGTGATGCTCTCCAAAACTTGCTCTGCCTCTCTAAGTCCCACTGTTAGATCATCGTTCTCTCGCCACCTGCGTGGGAACACCTGGGGAGATGTTAATCTCCGAGGTGTGGGGAAAGGAGGCCAGGGTTGCCTCGACATCCCCCAGAGTGTGACAAGACAAGCAACCCACCAAATGCACGGAGGGCCACAAACCAGCCACTGTGTGTGTACACACAGACACAGCCAGCAAGAAACCAAGACGATTGTGTTTTGGGGTTTTCTGAAATTTGTCTTGGCACCCAGGACGTGGATTTTATTTCACTACCACATCCCAAACACTGCTGACATTCAAGTCACAGCAATTTAAC